GGGGGTCCCTTTTATTTAGAACTACCATCTATTAGATTGCGCATCCACTTGCTCTTAGGGGGTCCCCATAATAAGGATTATAGTATTTTGGGGTCTATATGGGGGTCCCTTTTATTTAGGGAAACTACCATCTATTAGATTGCGCATCCATTTGCTCTTAGTGGCCAGGATAATGGTGAGAATGCTGTCAAGGTCCTTACATACTCCCATTGTAGCACTATGGCTGACTTGGGGGCCTCAGCCAACTTGCTGGTATGAGGCCAGGATTTGCTCCAAGGGCGTTTCTTTCCAAGACCCTCCTTCGGATAGAACCCTGATGTTTGATGAGTCATACTTGGCGGGTGAGTGGGGCTCATCTGGTATACCAGATTCATACAAGCTTAACACATATAGTAGCCACAGCTATCCCCAACACTGGAACGTATTAACAAGCCTACACCCTAAAACTTAGCCTAAAATGCCATCTTCTAAGTCTCACCGACATTCCCAGTGTAGTTCAAAGACCGGAATACATTGACGCAAGTGAACGAATCTTGCTTCTGCACACGCAATCGGTACGTATGTGGGGATAGACGGGCTACAGAGGGAATTATCAAAAGGACAATTGGCAACTACTATAATGGAGAACCCAATGGAAAAGCACATGGAAGATGAAATGGAAACTAGGGTTCTGTAGGGGATATAGCCCTAAACCCTATACTAAAGTTTAGAATAGGATTTCGGGTTATATCCCCTACAGAACCCTAGTTTCCATTTCATTTACTAAAGGGGATAATCCAGAACTCCGAGGTCATGCCTGCAAGTTGTCCGCCCGGTCCGCCCGACTAAGGTTTAGGATTTTACATTTAGGGCTCAGGGTGAGAGTTCCCCTTAAGTAGATTGAACATGGCTTTGGGTATATTGTAATAAGATCCCCATATACCCCATGTTCTATCTACTCAAGGGGGACTATAGGGCCTGGACATCTGCTCTGCTACCATAAAAATCCACCCCAAGCGACCATGGAGAAATGGAATATTGAAATTGCGCGGCAGTGTCCCTTTGCGCCCCTGTTACCTAAAGAAGCTCTTGAATGCGAGGCCAAGCAGCGCCAGCAGGACCATTAGTTCTCGCCCCTAACCTATCCCAGACTGTTTGCTATAACAGGAGCCAAAGTTGCCTGTTGTTCACTTCGCTGATCGACTGCTGTCCGAGAATAAACACTATAGTCCCAGTGTAGATCATATCCTCCTTCGTTGTATATTGTTTCCTAGGAAGAAAAACAACGAAAGTACATTTCTCAAGTCCCTTTCAAGGAAGAAGAGCACCTCAATGTGCATCCTGTCCCCTGTAGCAGTCCTCAAACTGTTTGAGTGTAGTAACCTTCTACTGCTCGCAATTTGCTTATTGTATGGTGGGGGCAGTCTACAAGCTTCGGGGTTTAGGGGTATAGCATCCAGATGTGAGACAGTACGGTGCGACCGCCCAAGGCTCTTCCACACCTGTTCTGTGCGGAACTCAGAGACTCCACGGGATTCGGTAGCTTCCCAAAACAAGGGGGAACCCAATATAGACCCCAGTATACTATAGTCCTCATTATGGGGATCCCCAAAATGGTACCCCTAACTTTGGGAAACCCTAATCCCTAAACCCTAAATAGTAGTTTCCATTTCCTTTTCCATTATCCTTATATAACCCCCATAAACCCCCCTTTAAAGGGTCCCCATTCCATAGCAGTACAAGGGGCTGCGATGTCGGGGAACCTGCGGCCTTTCAGATGCACAGGGTGTCATGGCAAAGCTTTGGCTTCTATAGTCCCCCTTAAGTAGATAGAATATGAGGTATATGGGGATCTTATTACAATATACCCAAAGCCATGTTCTATCTACTTAAGGGGGACTATAACCCTAAGCCCTAAACCCAGCTTTCTTCAGAGAGAGAGCATGAAGCAAAAGAGAAGCCTTCAAAGTCCGGCTGCCTGCGTGGCTCCTAGGCTCGGCTCCTTGAAGAGGGTTGTATGGTGGGGGCCCCAAAGGGGGTCATACAAGGGATCACACAGGGGACTACTACAGGGCTGATTAAGGGGGAATACTAGGAGTTCAGACTAGAGCTCACATCAAAGCCTTACAAACCTGACCAACAAGAATCTTGAGTAGGCGGCTAAGCCTGAAGCCTAAACCCGACCCCGCCAAGAACCCGTAGTCAGCCCAATATCTCCCTGAGACTCGTACTAACTTGAGAATACCACACTAGGGGAAAGAACCTACAGATCAGTGGTTTGAGTACCAAAACCATTCAGAGTATAGTATTTGGGGCCTAATCTCGGGCCATGCAGAATAGGGCACGGTTCCTTAACTAAAAAATTAACAAGCAGATGTGGCCTACAGTTTTGCTTTGGATTGTGGGCTGTTCACAACATGTTGGGCCCTTTTGGGTATAGATTCTTTTGCCAGAATTGGACCCTAATTTGGGAGCTAGCCATGTAATGCCAAAACGTCAGTCGTGGGCCCTGCAACTGCACCCGCAGAAGCTTCCCCACAAATCCTAAAAGGATTTAGCGGTATAGAGTGCAGTCCTCCTTATGTAAATAGAATATGGATATATGATATATGGGGATCTTGTTGTAATATACCCATAGCCGTATTCTATCTACTTAAGGGAGACTGTAGCGGTTTAGGGTATCGGCTTGGTGCTCTGAACACTAATCCCAAAACTCTACACCATTCAAACTTCGAGGATTCCCCCAACTCTATATGAGCTATAGTCTACACTCCTTAAAGGGGCTTATTTAGGGGAATATATAGGGGAGTATTATAGGGCTTATGAAGGGGCATACCAGGAGTTTAGACTCTGGCTCATATAACCCGCCTGAAATACCCCTGGAATTGAGCTTGTTGAGATTCAAGGGGTGGGTAGTTTGGAGGGAGGTGGTCAGGGAACCCAGGTTCCCAAGGCCCCGAACACTCAACCCTAAACCCGATACTGATACTTACCTAGCCTCCCCCCACCTCCCTTACCTTTCGTTAGCTAGGAATGCAGGAAGGGATCCCTAAAGTTGTCCCCATATAGCCCATTGTAGTAGTTTCCATTTTCTTTTCCATTCCTTCACTCCCACCCTAAAACCCTAAACCCCTAAACCCTAAACTTATATGATTCTTAGCAGACCTGGGAGGGTTCCCCCAAAATAAATATTTTTGCAGAAATTTTGCATTTTTTTGCATCTGGATTTTGCAACTAGAATTTTGCTGTGGGTTCAGAATGCATTTTTTTTGCATCTTACTTTTGCGGCAAAAAATCTATTCTTGGGGACTGCTACTTACTTTTGGTGCATGTGTTTGCAGCTGAAACTCTGCTTTCTGGCAGAAGAATTGCTTGTTCTGGTGACCAACTGGCATGTGCAAATTCCTGGCAAGCAAATGTATTCGCTCATTGAGGGCCACATTTGGCCCAAATTTTGGAAATCAGAACTCAGTCTGTGCTCGGTGGCCTTTGGCTGGACATTTTCAGCACATGCAACAAAGATGTTACTTAGCTGAGGAGATTTTGGCAACATGAGCAGTGAGCAGCATTCACAAGGGCCCAGTGAGGTATGGCATGGTTTAGAATCTTATGGATTGGGTGTGATCCTAAAAAACCTGCTTGAATGTTTGCTTGCTTGAACCATCCAGCTGAGACATAATTCAGCTACACCACATGCCAAGTTGCTATGTGCAACACTTGACTTTGACATACGCACGGGAGTCATTGCGACTGTTCTAGTTTTTTCCAGCTGCGCAAGCCATGGCAGAGTTAGACAGCACTGAGTTGCGCTGGGCTGAAGCTTTGGACGATGAGTTGTGCAGCGTGCAGAGGATGTCCCAAGAAATTTCAGATGCAGAGATTTGTCGAACCCCTAGCACAGATGGTGAAGGAGATAGTGGTCAGGCTACTGTTTACAAGGCGCCCCCAGGAGGCCCCAGCAGCATTGTAGTTCCCAGCGAGTCTGATGTGCAAACTCCACCTCAAAGTACAACTTGGTGGGCTGTGGTTCTGCGGCAAGCAGCAAAGAACATGTGCCCCCTTTCTTGCTTTGAACCCTTGCCGCCACACGACCTGCAGACTGTGAGTGGGTGCACGGGGTCTTGCGCAGAAGGCTTCGCTTTCAAGGCCTGGCCTGACAAGGGAGTATGATGCTATTCTGCTATTCTACATTCTACAATTGTTGCTCAGGAAAGTAAACACTAAACCATCCAAATCCATTTAGATCTGGGCTATTGAATCAGTTTCCAGTCTGGATGAATACCCAAGGCTATCAGGTAGGGTGGCTTGAGTCCCCCCAATTGCTCTATAAATGATTAGGATTCCTTTTCCCAGCAGCCAGACATTGTAGATAGTCAGCGCAAAGATCCAACGTCCAAAGTTCTTGTGTGTCATTGCCCCCTCAACCACGTTGCATGTAATGTTCTGGTTTAAAGTTTGGGAGTTGTGGGAGCGTGCCTGTACAGCTTGTCATGCAAGAGCAGATGACATTCTGTTCTGTAAGGGTAAGGGTTCCAAGAACTGAATAAAAGATGAATAGTTCATATCACATGCTGGATCAGCTTAGTTTCTGGATCAGCTTGCAGTGTAGGGCCAGGGTTGGCAGGCAGAGAACAGGGTGGGGTAAGGGAATGTCAGCTACAGCAGCTTGGCTAGCCCAGATCAGGCCAGGCTATTGATTTCAGAGCTCTCTGGGTTAATTTGGGTTTGGGTAGGCTGATATAGGGTCGGGTAGGGCAAAAAAGGCTCGGTTAGGTTGGATTAGTGGTTAGATGGGCTGGGAATGAACAGTACAGTACAAGTGGCAACTCTTCTTTTACTGCGTACTCCTTCAACCCCATAGCCATACCAGTTGCATTGCCATTGTAGTTACCAATATTGCCATGTGTCATGTGTGACGACTAGAGTGACTCCAGAATGTCAATTGAAGCCAAAAGACCACATGGAGTATCGGAAAACTTGACAAGTGTTCTCTTGCATGATGTCACCCCATGCTTCTGCAGGCGCTGGGCATCAACTACCACATGCTGGCTGCGTCGGAAACCACTGTGAGCTACCGTGACTTTTTCCTCCTGAACATTGGTGAGGGCAAGTTCGATCATGTGTTCAATTCTGTTGAAGACCAGATTGCACAGCATGAGCCCCCAAAGCGGCTTGTTCACTTGATGATAACTGGATCACCGTGTGACCCATTTAGTGTGCAACGTTGCAAACGGTTCCGAGCGGGGAACGTGAAGGAACATTGTGATTTCAAGGTGACAATGGAAAGTATTGTCAAAATGTATGAAAAATATACTCCAGCAATTGGGGTAATGGAACAAGTCCTCGGGTTCGTGAAGCCCTTCGAGCAGGGCGGTCAGGTGACACCGTGCGACAGGCGTGGCCACAATGTTGCCACATGAGGGTGTAAAGTGTAAATTTAATGATGTTGATGAACAACATAAGCCCTCAAAGGTTTGTCCAAAGTCTAGATTTTGTAGTCATAGCACTTGCTGTGGACAAGCGCTGCTACCATTGCCACATGTTGGTCTTTACCATGTTACTTCCAGCCCAGCTTTGACTCAGCGTAATTTGTTGTAACAGTAGCTGCTGAAATAGGCTTATGTAGTTAAGAGTTGCATTGTTTTCCAAACTGCCAATGATATTCGTGCTAGCATCAGGCCCAACACATGTGGTAACTGTAGCTGTAGCGGTTTGGATAAGCGGATTAAACACAATCAACCCTGACATTGTTTGTTTTCTGAGTGTAGTAGTGTAGCCATGTAGACATGCAGCCAAACTTAGCCCCAGAGCCTGCGAGGACCCACAGTAGCTATATCCAGTATCTATAAACGAAGCTTAGGTCTTTGGTTTTGGCATGGAATTATGCTTTAGTCACTTTAGGCCATATGCACTCCCAGTATTGGATTTGCTTCCCCAGCGTGCCAGTTTCAGTTGACATCGCGTGAGGATGAGGGTGGGTTGCATGGGCACATTTGCACCTATAGTAGTAGGCAGGGGCAGTGTTCTTTGGGGCGTCTACCCATGTTTGAATCCCATATAATCGCAAGTGCTGTCCAGTAATTGTTGGGTTTGTGGGCTATGTTGCACCATTACATTACATCTTCAGCTGGGCCATGGATCCTCAACAACATGTGTTGTTTGCACGGTTTTGGGCAGTGTTGCTGGGCACGTGCTTGTGGGTCATAAGGTAAATCAGGTTGCTTCACAGGGCGATGTATGAATCTTTGAGGCTTGAAGTCTTTCAAATTCATGCTTCTGGCTAGACTAAACTTTTGTTTAGTTCCACTGCTTCTGGTGCGACAGTTGCCATGAACAACCCCACGCTACCTGCTGTATCTAGCCATCAACCTTTCCACATTGGTCACTAGTCATTCATAACTAGTAGCATCTAATACCGTGTACAATGCCATGCGCCCAACAAGACCATCATCCTGTTTACCGCCCTCTTGTTACACTGCTACGCAGTTAAACTGTGGAATACTAGATCCCCATTTATCCATGGAGCCACCATGAGAAGTTCTTGGTGTCAAGCTGCACCGAAATTTTAGTGCACATGAAAGGTTATTAGGCCTACTCATGACCGATCCTCACCTCATTATCAAACAACCTGAATCAATCCTTTACCCGCGCTCTAGCCGCTAGCTGCTAGCTGCTACCCCCCTTGCTTGCAGGTTCCTTGAGTTGCTTGGCCAAGCCAACTTGGGCAGTGGGTACTTCATGGCCAAGTTCCAGCTCGACGCAAAGCTCTGGCTCAACATATCCCGGCCACGGTGCGCCCCCCCAGCCCTTGACCGATGCATTGGCTTCCTAGGGGTCCTGGAGTAAGTCTTGAGTCGCAAAGTCCTAGAATCCTGAGTCCTTGAGCAGTGTGGTGGATTGCGATGTAGTCCTCACTAGTCACTAGTCCCTAGTCACCGTAGTCAGTCATGGTCATGGCCGTGGAAGGTCAATCAGGGGTGGGAAGAGAAGATGGTTAAGCTTGGACACATTTGTGCTTGATGATTCCCGGATTTGTTTGCAGCTCAGAACCCTTTGGTGAACTTTGTTGTCACATGGACTCCAATCCTATCATTAAACATTGGGCCAATTCAGCACGTAAGGTGAATGACATTTCGCTTTGCAAAAAATGTGGCCAATGTAGCTGGGTAGCAGGTAGCAGTATAGCAGCAGTTAGTTAGCGGTGTAGCTGTACTGTAGCCCCGAAGGCCCAGGTTCATACCTGTCCTGGCAGAGTATTTCCTGTTCATGGTTCTGCAGCAATGTGTTCTAGTAAATGAATCGGATGTTCACATTTTGGAGCCCCTTCTATGCTTAGGCCGCTTAGGCTTCGGCTTGGATTTAGATGCACTCTGCTGGCCCATAGGTTGCACGATTCCATGACTTGGTGTGGGATTGCAGTCTGCGCATCTGTAGTGTAATTATTTGGGGATGGTGGCCCAAAGGCTGGCTAGCGCAAAAAATCAGAGTCTATGCCATCCACTTTGCTCAACTCCTGCAGAACACAAACCTGATGAGTGTCATCCAAGTGCGTAGCGTTGGTGTGCTATGCCCCTATGGCCCTATGCCCTATGCCATGCATTTGCTTATTTGATGTAGTAGTATAGTCACTATGATCAATAGGCGTTAGGTCCTCAGGCTTTGATTGATGCAACACATTCTGAGACTTTGAGTAATCTTGTATCAATCAATCATATTTCGTCCATTGTGAAAGCAGTCATGCGCGCTATGTGGGCCACAGTGTTTGGTCAGATCAGGATACTGGTGTGCAGTGTGAGCTCACTGATTTTGAGGACGGCTGGTTTAGCCGTTGGAGATGGACAGTGCAGATGATTTCGAAACAGCTTTTGCAAGTTGGGCAGATGACTGTGATGAAGATGTTGGGGATACACCTGCTAGTGCTGCTAGTGCTAGTGTTGAAGCTGCACCAAAGAAGAAGCGTGGTCCTGGTAGACCCAAAGGCTCCACCGGCAGTAGATTCATAAGACAGGAGCTTCAGGCTCTTGCTGCAGCCAATGCGGAGGGTCAGGATGACGCACCTGTGGAGGAAGCCCCTGATGTGATGCATCAGTTGGCACAGTTACGCCAGCATCGTGAAGAAGGGACACGCTTGACCGACTTGTTTGGGCCTGCAAAATTCATTCTGAATGTGGGGAGTGCTTTCCAGCGAGTGGTTTCAGGGGCGTTGAGGAGCTCAATCGAACTGTTGACACGCACGAAGGCAAATCAGGTCTTACTTGAAAATGGTCTTGGGGAGCCAGAGCGCGAAGGTGCATTGGCCCATATTGTGCAGGGTCGGGCGCTAACATGCAGTGCCACCGCTTTAGCTGCAATGAGTAAGGGCGCAGAGGCCAAGAACCTGAGCAGCAGGTCTACTTTGCGACGTCTCATGGTTTCTGCTGGTGCTTTGGCTTTGGAGAGCTCAGCCTTGCTCTGCAGTTGTGCCCTGTCATCCTTCATTCAGGTTTGCAAGCAGACTCCTCAGCGCATCATACAGATGAAACCCTTGATGTTTTGTTGGCGCGTTCGGTACGATGAAACTCCCAGCAAAGTGCGTGTGGTTAATGTGCAGAACGCCGCCACCACAACAGCCCCTCAGCTTTCAGCTAAGACTCTAAGACTCCTAAGACTGGCTGTGACTGAGCTGTCATTCAAATTCCTACACAACTGCCGTGTACCCTGAACTCCCTAAGCCCTAAGCCCTTAACCCCTAAAACCAAAACGTTATTTGTCACTAGTTCAACATAGTTCGCCTGAAAGTAGGAATGAATTGTGCAAGGAAGAGGACCAGTCCCTCAAATCCCGTTTTTTGCTGCAGCTGGAGTTGGGTTTGGGAGATAGCTTGGACCAGTGGCATCTCTCCTGGTTCTGTCCTTGAGGTTTAAGGCTTAGGGCACAGTGTCATAGGGCCCAGTTGGCTCTAGATTCAAGCTTAGGCAGCTTATGAGGCATAGGGCTTAAGGTGTAGGGCTCAAGGGCTTTGGTCTGGATTAGGTCCAGTTTGGTGAAGTGATTGGAGCAGCTGTCGCATCTGAAGCAATACTGTTGAAAAGGGTCAGCTACTCACCCACTCATTTGTTCATGTTCGAATCGTTCGCATGCTGTGGCTTGGTTTTGTTTGTTAGATTTGGTTAGGTCAGGTTCTTCAACAGAAAGCGAAATTGAGGCAACATTGCAGCATCTTGTCATGCAAGCTTAGCGCCCATGCGTTGTGTGAATAGTATGGGATAGTTTTTTCTTCAATTTCAAGGTGAAGTACGGATACATATCCAGGGTTGGTTGGCTTTGGGTTGATCTAGTTCAGTCCTGGCAGATTTGAGTCTGCCATGCATAGGCCATAGGCCCTATATTGGCTCCTGTGAAATTTGGATGGACACTCAAACCGACACATTAGACTGTTAGACTGTTAGACTTTCACCTCCAGCTGCCAGCTATTTCTGCAAATGAATTGCAACGTGTGAACTGCACTGTCAGTTGAAGCCAGGTTGCCCAAGTGCTCATTTACGACCCAGGCTCCCAACGCCCAAGAAACCATGCCCCATGGCCCACAACATAGCCATAACATGCCCATACCCATGACATCAAAAAGAATGGGAAACCTCGTCCTAACCATAAGCCGGGCCTAACTGGTTGACCGGTCCCAAGTAACTAAGTAGTCTGACTGAGCCCAGCCAAAATGTAATCCCAGGAGATTGGGGCACCAGATGGAGTTGGTTCAGCGCCAGCTGGACACATTATTCTACCATCTGGTTGCAAGGGCTCTCAGAACATTGGGCGATTCCTTGCATCCATGGGGGTGACGACTCCAGCCGAAAATGTGACACATGCAAAGGTGCTCCAGACCCAAGTGGACATCATGATGGTGTACAGCGTTTCTTTCCAAACTGGTGGGTCATCATCCTCAACATCAGCAGCAGCATCATCAGCATCAGCTTTGTCTGGCGAGTCTGGCGGTGTGCCGAAGTTGACTTGCCTGTCAACGTCCATACCGTGCTCTTTGACTGCGATGGATCGGACAACGGCCGAGAACCAGCGAGCCTGTGTCATGGAGACCATTGACACACTGCCAGAGTGGCGCAGGATCTCGTCTGAGTTTCCGATCAAGGTCAGGGCAACCACTACAGACCGCTATCCTGCCAATTACAGGACTGAGGATGGCCTTCAGAGTCCTGGGTACATGGAGGATTTTTTGTTGCTGCACCTGGCTTGTGATGCGCACAGGGCTGCAACCAGCATAAAGGCCACTTTGGCTCAGTGCGAGGCTGATGTCAGCGGCTTGCTGAACACAGCCCTAGCATTGAGTGAGCTGGGTGTCCTGAAGCGGCTTCGGGACTTGTTGACTGCACTATTCTTCCGGGAGATGGATGTCATCGAGTTGCAGCCGCCGAATGATATGGACACCCAAAACTACAGAGAGGAGGTCTTTGCGCGTTTCTTGCCCCTTGATGGACGGACTGCAAATCTCAACAGGAAGCGTCGAATGGTGCTTCAGACAATGCTGAATGGAAAGATTCAACACGGCCCGCTTCAACACTACTGTCCTCCTGGTGCTTTGTGCTGCAACAACAGTCGTCAGCAAACCATGACCACATGCGCTCTATACGTTACATGGGCTTTGGTTCCATTTCAGTGTCCAGCGATGTCCAGAAAGAATTGGCTGAACCAAACTGCAAACATGGATTGGGTGGGTGCCCTGGAGTCCCACCATGGACTGTTCACCAGGTTGATGACGCTCCATTTGGGCTCTGCAAAAACCATTGTGCCCGGCACGGATGGGAATGCGCAGCAGCCTGACCAGAAAGAAGACGCTCCTGCTGTTCAAACTGATCCAGCAGGTGATGGGTTTGACATGTGGCAAGATGCTTTGCTTGATGAGCTGGTACAGAGTCATGCGGCAGAGGAAGCACCAGCCCAGTCAGCACCTTGTGTTGCAGAGGAGGGCTTGCCCGCGCAGCCAAACCTTGAGTCGCAAGAGGCTACTAAATTGTGTTCAGTAACTGTTGTTGTTTCTTCGTATGTCTAAAACCTTAAAATGCCAGACAACTGCAGCATGGAGGGAGGTTGGTGCAAGTTGTTATGACATTGTTGTGATTGTTATTTTGTTTTATGAAACAATGTAATGGGTGCAAGGGAGTGGGGCATAATGGCAGGCATAATGGCTGGCTCGTTATCCAGTTATCCATGATTAGTGAACAGTAATGACTTTTAATGTGATAACAATGAAGTGGGAAGGGGGGCAAGTTTTGTTTTTAGGTGCTTCACTCGTGCAGAATTGATGGACCATATGCAACAGATCCCAAGACACAAGATGTTCTTAACCTCAGTTAGGGTCTGGAGTCTGGGGTTTGGATGGTTTGGTGCATAAGGTTTATAGCTTGGGGCTGTGGTTTAAGGCTTTAAGGTTCATGACTTAGATTTTAGGGGTGCGTATACGTACAGTTGGGACACATAATATAGGGGCCGATGAGGGAATTCCATAAGGATCATGGTAAGGATCCAACGCTTGACCCATAGTAGAACCCAAAATTCCTGAAGCTAATCTGATCATCCTCCGTTCTCGCAACCATCATCCCAATCCCTCCTGCTCAATTTCTACTCAGGATATGTGGAAGGAGATGAAGCGCTTGCGCCGGCAGTCTGCGCAGACGTACGCTGCATCTAGTCCATTCAACCGCCTCTACATTGCCCGCCAGGCAATAGGGCCTTTGCATGCTTTCATGACAAAGGTCCTAGCTTTGAGTGGGGGCCAATGGGAACGCAAGCAGGCTGCCCAGCAAGCTCTTGGCAAGCCCCGCACCTTTCTCATCCTTGAAGCTGCTCGTGGGGAGGATCTTTGCCAAGCAATGACCCAGTTGCTGCAGATCATCTTTGACAGCCCCAGTGGTGTTCACACAGACACCTTCACATGTGTTCACCGAGCCTTGAAGCTTGGAATGGTTGCCTCTGGAATGTGTGCAATGCATGCTTTGCTGCGAAGGCCACGTGATGCAGTGCCATACCAGGCATTCCATTTGGCAGCTCAGGACATTAGTGATGATGAGCTCAAGCAGCACGCAGAGCGGTTGGCCAAGCTTCCTTCTTGCCTTCATGACGAATTCTGGGCCGGGTGGTCTAAGAAATATCCTGACGAAACAGATCTCCTTGGGTCTGAGTGCAGGGGGCTCCTTCAATGTTTGGCCTCCATTATTGCGTTAGATGTTGCCAGTATTGAGTCGGCGCACTCAAGCACAAGAGAGTTTGCAAATTTACGCTCCCGGGGTTGGGTGAGCAGCCTCGAAGAAGTCTCTTCCCGCTTTGTCCTCCTTCAGAGGAAGAGGCACAACAAAGAGACTTATGCTGCAGCGAACAACACAAGGAAGAAAGCCAGAGAGCCTGGAGCGTCTGACTCTCAGAAATCAGGCCAGCGGAAGAAGAAGAGACAAGCTTCTATTTCAGCATGGAATGCTTTTGTGCATGTGCATGCAGCTGGACAGCGCCCATCAGCTGAGCTTCATTCGCGACTGAGCAAAATGTTCCGAGACCTGTCAGATGAAGAGAAACAGCCGTATGTTGATGCTGGACAAGCAGCGTCTGCCGCTCGCAAAATGGGATTCCCTGCTTTTGCAACTTCTGTGGACAGGAAGCACCGGAAGAAAAAACAACTTCCATGGAACCAGCGTATGTTGGCTGGGTCTAGCTCTGCAGCTCCCATGCTGCTTGCAGGGGACGAAACACCAGCTGGAGCCATTGTCGCGCAAGATGCAGAACCATTGGATGATGCACTCATTGCTGATGTTGGTGGACAGGTCACTGAACACCTTCGCAAGTGTTTTCCAGACATGTATACAGACTTCGTGCAAAACTTGCCCAAATGGAAGGATCCACTCCAGCTTGATGAAGCTGAACAGCTGCAGTTGGAAGCCTTCTGCAAAGAGGTTGACGTGCCCGAGGTCCCAGTTGCCAAGCAGTGGCAAGATAGTGGCCAGTCCCAGCTGAGAAAGAATCTGGAGGCTTATCCGATTTCAAACCTGGTGCGAGGAGCTACTTGGAACCCTCCTGCTGAGAAAGCCGTCGAGGCCGAGATTTGGGGTTTCAGGTTCAGTTTACGGCATGTAGTTTAAAGTTCAGGGTGTAGGGTCTAGCATTCAGCTAGGGCCAGGGCTAGGGCTAGGGTTTATGGCATGGTTTACAGTTTAACAAGGTTAGGGTAGTTTAGGGTTGTGGCTGAGGGTTGTGTACAGGGTTTAGTCTGTTTAGAATTATAATTAGAAATTGGAGGGTTTGGGCTTGGGGCTTATGGTGTCTAGGGTGTAGGGTGTCGGTGTAGGGCCACTGTAGGGGAGTGTTTCAGGTATTTCGCTGGGCGACATTTGCATCTTCCCGAGTCTACCCCACTTTATCCACTGATGAGCATAATCGGCATAATCATAAACACCAGTCACTAACCAAACGCTATGGTGGCCAGTGACGAACCAAAGCCATGGCAAGGCTAAACACAAGGCAAGGGTCATCACTTGAGATTTGAGTGCGAACAAAACACAGCCACATTTAATTGACACCCAATTTTGGCAAACTCAGCCTGTTCTTGAGCTCCAGAGGACTCCACGCTCCATGAGCTACAGCTAGACTTGCAATGCATCAGGGCATCATCATTGCAGTTACAAGTTGACCTGAGCTTACCTGACCCAGCACATGTTCTGGATCTTGACCTAAACTATGACCATAACCTTTCATCTTCATTGTCTTGTTGATGAGATGGCAAGCTTTTTGTTATTGGTTTCGCAAAGTTGGGTATTTTGTAGCGTTAACAATAGGGTTGGGCATTGGGGTCCAAGACGTTGGTGAGGGCCACAAATGAGTGAGCGTAGGGCACTGTAGTGTAGGAGCAGAAGCAGGGAACCATATGATTGGGTATTTCAATTGAAGGTTGTGGGGGGATCAAGTAGTGTACCACCTAGGTGCTATGTCATTATGCCATTTTGCCTATGTAGAGTTTGTGTGTCTTTGTTCCTGAACAGCTTTGGGGCTTGGCAGGCATAGCTAGATCGAAAGTCAAGACCTTCCCATAGATCATATTGTGGGTTCCATAGGTCTATGGGGATGCATACTCTGGAACTCCAGTTCTTGTGTCAATTTCCAGGGCTTGGGCTGGGACAAATCATGGGCAGGAGGTCTTGAGTGCTGTGCTTTTGTGTTCTTGGAAGGTACAACTTCTAGTGATTCTAGTAGTTAGTAGGCTTTGCAATAAATAGCAGTACTACAACACCCTTTAGGGAAAGCCTTTTGAGTTAAGGGCTCGGGCCAGAAGTTGTAAAGTACTGGTATTTTTGAGCAGGATGCTTAGCTTCTAACCGTTCTAACCCTGCTGAGACCTTCGAACCACCTAACCTGGCAGTTTGGGTTTATGGTTCAGGGTTTAGGGGGCGTGTGGCTTTTGAGATGTCACCATCACCATGTCACCATGTCCTGCGACAAGACCCCTGAACAAACTGCATCCTGCTCTGTGCGAACGCTCCCGTCCACCTAGCCGCTAGTCAGAACACAGTACACCACCATGCCCTAAACCCTCAATCCTAAAACCTGGGATGTTTTGCTGTGTTTCACCTTGTAACAGTAACGTTGTAACAGACCAGTACAGTAGCCTGAGAAGAAGCCCAAAAAAACAATGTTTATGTTCAAGCGCAAGGCCCTCTCACGCGCCTTCACATGCCCGAATGAATAAGTCTTTTTGAACATGCTAATTGGATTTTGATGTTGCTTTTTGAGAGCCCAATACATGTATCAAAAGGTTTTATGAATTGCCCAAGGCCAGGGCGGGTAGAAAAGGCTAGTACATTGTACATGGACTCCACTGACTCCAGGAATTGGGACCCTCAGACCTCATTCCTTCCCTGATGCACTCCATGGCAGATCAGTGCAAGCCTCATGCTGCCAACCGAGACTCCAATCAGTATTTGATGTGGCTTCAGATCCCAAACCCTACGTCCTAAACTTTAGCCCTAAACTCTAAGTGCGAACTCCTAGACCCCATAGTCCCCCTTAGGTAGATAGAAGATGGCTCTGGGTATATTATAATAAGATCCCCATATACCCCACATTCTATTTACTTAAGGGGGACTACAAGCTTTAAACTGCGCCCATTAAACCGCAACCGATCCCAAGGGCATCCTTGTAGCCAGGTTGACATGCGGCAGCCCAATGCCCACAACCCTTTGCAGCAAGCCAGCCATCCACCATGGGCTGTAAGACTTTAAGACTCCCTTTTAGGACACAAGTAAGGGTAGATTAAGGTACTCTTGAGGTTTAACAGCCCATTCTGGATGTCCTGGCTTGCTGCTAAGGAACTTTGGTTTTACTTACCATATAATATTGGTACATAGTACATAGTGGGGTTTCCTTATTGTAGCAACTTCATTTGAATTTAAGTTGCTTAGCAGTAACCCTGTGTCCAGGAGTTTCATGATGGTGGAAATTCTCATTTGTAGATTGTAGGCCATTGTAGGTTGAGAGGGTTTATGGTTCCCGTACCCTGGCAGGCAATGCTGTGCGAGGAAACGATTTCTGTCCGGAGGAAGGTGGGTCTGACTGCCCGAACATCCAAAAGCTGGTCACATCGATGCCGTGTTCATGTACATGCTGAGCAGCGTCCTATTGCAGCAGCTGATGTCAGACAGCGCTTCAGACCCGCGCTTTGCCATCAGGTCGGCCTCTGCATCTGTGGAAAGTCACCTGGCTCAGCCCCTGATTTGGGGTTGTTTTGGAAGAACATGGAACCATGGCTGAGAGCTGTGTTTGCGAAGAAGAAGAAGGCAGACTTGTCTAAAGCCCGCCTTATGACAAAAGAGCAACGACTTGTCTTTGGGTTCTTCTCAGCTCCTGGATGGAGCAAGGAGCGTGCAAAGGATGATGCAGCAGCTGGTGATGATGCATCGAACTCGGAGCCTAGCCCCGAACCTGAACCCCCTCGATATGCTTACCCGGCTTACATGAATTTCAGCAACTTTCACTTCACAATGTTGAGGCTGTTTGCTGACTTGGAGCATGTGCTTGGTATTCCAGTAGATGCAGTGCCACAGATGGACGATGTCACACAAGTGACGCTCATGGATGCAGAGCAAGCTGGTGAGCACCATGGTATTTTCACTGATGTCAAGTTTGTGCATGAATGCCTGGATTTGCAGCATTCTTGGCAGGTGCGTCTATTCTACATTTCCTTGGATGACCGGCACTGGCAGCAGCATGATCGGTCTTCTTGCGTCATTCCACTCATGGATGCTTCTGGTGAGTGTGAAGTGGAGCCGATGTGGATCTGGCGCGGTGCTGAATACGAGAATGCTAAACTCACAGCTAAACGCCCTCGCAAGCGAGCTGCTGACAGCTCTCAGCCCAAACGTGCAGCCAAGGCCAGGGCGAAAGCTTCTTCGTCTGATCACAAGCGGCGCAAAAAGGCCCATGAGGAGGTTGATGCAGATGCCATTGACAACGTCCTGGAGAATGAGGGCCGTGAGTACTTGGAAGAGCCAGGAGGGATTCCCCCTGGTGCTGGCAACCTTTATGTCGAGAGTGAGGGCGACGCTCTTCCCGAAGAGGAGGAAGTGGAAGAAGACTTGCAGGATGTCTTCCCTCATGGTTTGCAGGCGTGGTATGCAGAGGAGCTGGCTAGGTCAGAAGCATCATCGCAGTATGAGCCTAGCTTGGGAGAGCAAACTGATGCTGAAGAGGACCTTGCTGCCAATCCTGATGGTCCTGATGCAGAGGACGTCATTGATGATGCAGCTTTGGCGAGGCTGTTTCTTGATCCTGACAGTGGACCAGATGTTGCAGCCCCTGACTCTGCCCGTTCATCATTTGCTGGGGAGGGAGTGCCAGGTCTTCCTGCTGCAGCTGGAGACACAGATGCTGCTGATGCAGAGCCGAATGCTTCAGCAAACCGTGCACGCCCTGGCAATCGCGAGCCTCATGAGCGTCGGGCAGATTTCTGGAGGGATGAATTGGAGATCCCCCATCTTGGCAAACTCAGATATTACCGCCATGAAAAGCATGTCATTGCAGTTTGCTCAAATCCTGAGCATCATGATTGCCGAATGACCCGAACTCTGGAGGAGCCACCCAGAGTTGGCAAGCCTGGCTCCAAATCAGCTGGCCAAGGACGCCCACTGGGCTTGATGCTGGCATGGTTACAGAAGCAATTTGATTATTCAACTCAGCAGGCCCACCTCAAGAGCTGCAAACCGGATTTGGAGAGCAGGCAAGAGGCCAGGCGGGAGTTGCGCGGTATGCCTCGTGGAGAGGCGTTCCTTGCCTATGAGAGAGCGCTCAGACCAGGGGAGTCAGAAGAGCCTGAAGCCATACGGTGATCTGTGCGCGTGGAAGTTGCTTGTTCCCAGCCCAGGTCAGTCAACTTTAAACCCCAAAGCATACACATACACCTCAAGCTTGATTGTGGATCAGCTGGGTTGGTCACAAGCCTTGCCACATGGTTCGGATGCTGCACAGCGAGTGCAAAGTTTCACGTGAAAAACTATGTGCTTCAATCTGCCAGGCCTTCTTACAGGGATACAGCATTCATGTGGTGCCCATGTTCCTCACAGATTTCAACAAGTTCTAAAAGTTGTCCTGACACAGTGATGTCATTCAATTAATGACTGTAGTTCCTGGTCGATTTGTTTTGTAGGAACGGAAGTTTGTTTGGTTCATGAGTCCAGGAGCTCATGATGAAACTTGTGCTGGGATTCAGGTTGCCTCCAACGCTTTCAGATATTCGGTTCAGAGGTTCTGAAGATTCTGAAGTCCTGCTATTTTTATTCGAGTCTTGAAGGTGAAGCATCCTAGCCCTAGGCCCTAGACCCCTAGACCATGGACCTGGTAGACTGCTAGACTCACAACACTCAATAGACCGGAGGGTGTCAAACCTTAGAATCTTTGAGTTGCATTATGTACATTACATGGTAAGGGGTAATGATGTAATGCGTGGAGGGACGACTCCAGGCTTGGGGCCCAATGAAAACCAGACTTGAAAGAATTCAGGATTGACAGTGCT